TTTATCAGTACTATCGTTAAGATGGTTTATTTTTCATATAACGAGATGACCAGTTTGATGTAAATATAAATACAATTTTCAACATTTGATTTGTATAGTTGAGTTATCAACATGTGAAGTTGTGTGATTTTTCCGGAATTGAGAAATTTCCATCAAATTCTCACATTCCAAACAAGATTTAGATACGGCCGCAAGCAAACAAAACAGTAAAAATTTAATAGATTGTTTAAAATGACACAATAAATTATATCCCAAAATATAATTCTGTTGTTTGCATGCGGCCACCATGAAAAATACATAAAACGATGTTTTTCGAGGCTCTATTTTGATCGCTTCCGGTTTCGGTTTTTTATATTCAGACGTAAACAAAGTTGGATGAGTCAAAAACAGACAAAGTGACGGTAGATTTATCGAAGTTCTAACCATTTAGCAGGTAGGGATGAATTGAAAATCAGAGCATTTTTCATTTTGCATGCACTATTTACATGCATAGTTCAAAATTAAATCCCCTCCCAAACATAATTGATAAAAGATTTGACATGACAGACTCCGCTAACTCCAGGAACTCTGGGAGACGGTAATCATGTCAAACAGTTGAAAATAGAAAATGTGTATCTAAACTATAAATACACAATCTTTCTATGTTGGTGTTTATAAAATGCTAACATATTTTACTGTCTGAGTACAAATACAACCGAGTCTAGCGTTTGTGTATTCAAAGGACATTACTCTGGTACGTATGCAAATGTACGGTGTGACGGTGTGCAACAAAAGTCAAAATAAAAAATAAAAATATATTGGTAATTTTTTTTTTTTTGTTTTGTTTTGTTTTTTTTATGTCTTTTGTTTTTTTTTGGAAAACAAAATGAAAACAGTTAGTTTCTTTAAAATTAACTAACACCACTTAATCTAATAAATTTTCTTTGCAGAATAAATAATATAAATTCTTTCTATTTTTCTTGTGGGGACAATGTATTTTTTTGTTTTTTTAACCAATTAATTAAAATATTATTAATATAAAATTAACCTTTTGTGAACTTGAAATTAAAAAATAATTAGATTACCTTGGAATATTATAAATTGATTTAAATCACCATTTTTAAATATAAAATTTAAAATTTAAAAATAAAAAAAAAATGTTTGTCATAATTAAAAGTTTCATATTTTTTGTTTTTATTTAAAGTACCTTGTAATGTCTTAGCCTTTTACTTTTATTCATTAAAATCAATAAAACTCCTATTTGAATTGATTTCATGAATGAAAAATAGATATATTATACCTGGTAACATTATCCTTTATTTATAAGTTACATGTACGAGGGATGTCCCGTAAAATCGTGGACAAAACGTTTTTCTCGAAAAGTAATAGGCGCACTAAGCTTAAATGCTTATTTATCATATTTCAGTGCATGATAATTTTTTTGATGAAATATAGGCACAAATAAAGATTTTATTAGACTTGAATGTGCACGGGGTACTGTCCTTCGGCGCACGGTCAAAAAACAAGGTTTTACTAAAGATTACACAAGTTTAAATTCAAAATAAAAGTTTTAAATACATAAGATTTGAATTAAAATTATCCTGATTCAATTCCACAATCAATTTTGTAGTCTTTGTAAAAATTTTAAGGCATTTGGTTAATATTTTGGTAGTTTCTCGAGCATTCGAAATGGGAAAGTGGTAAACACAACACACGAAAAATGTCGACGTTTTATGACGTTACGGCGCACAACAGAGCGGTTCAATTTTATTTCAATGTTGTAATGACACCTTTAGAGAATTGAAATGACCATAGAAAAAAAAGATTATAAAAATATCACCATATCTTAAGTATGCAAATGAAATGGAAGTTTTCTTAGCAAAGTCTTTTTGATCGAGGCCCTGGGGAATACAAAACAAACGGACAAACTCTTAATGTAATAGCAAAAGACGCTGTCACAGTAGACCGCCGATATGAGATTTTTTATTAGTTGAATGATGGTGAGAATATTGTCCGTAACTTACTGATAAATCTTCAGAGGATCGCATGAGGGTGCCAATTGGTTCTTCGACTGTCTATGGAGCCTTAAGAATGTGTATCAATGAAATTCCTAAATAAAGTCGGAATCATCCAACTTCATTTTCAGCAATGATAAAACGTGACGCTGTTTTAGACACTTTGACGTTATAATCCATGCGCCGTAAGGTTATACAATACATGGCATAAAATCTCATAATTTGTTTATTTATGCATATATTTATCTGAAATTTGCTGTGTATATTACTAAAATATGTACTAAATAATAGTGAAAATTTAAGAACGCAGTGATGTTTATTTTTCACATTAGACAACTTGTCCACGATTTTACGGGACAACCCTCGTAAATATAAGTTACAAAGCATCCATGCATTATACATTGATATGTGAATAGATTAGTTATCGCTTAAGTTTTATTTGTAATATTGGTATTTTTTTTATACTAAAATCTTAATTACATTGAAAATGATAATTTTGATATTACTCAAAAATTATTTTTCAAAATCACATGCTAAGTTGTTTCTTTCTTTTTACATTAATAAATTATTTCCTTCTTTCATAAATAAAGAAAATCCTATGCAAATGTATATTCACTGTACAAGTAAACCCCCCTTCCATAATTAAAGACAAAATGTGCATACATAATGTATACAGAAAAAAACTCATTTAGTACGAACATTCATTTAGTGAATTTACGAATATAGCGAAGTCATCTTGGATCCCCAGTAATATTATAAATTAAATGCATTTCTTATATGGTTAAAACGAATTACGAATATAGCGAAGTAATTTCATAGGTCCCAGAGACTTCGCTATAATCAAGTTTTGCTGTATATAGTATTTTAATTTTGATATTTATATTTTAATTGTAGAATACGTGGAGATGGTCCAAAACAATATCCTGTTACCGGAGCTGTTACTGGTTGGTGTTGTCAGTGTCGTGCTTGAGCCAGAGTTGTCGGGGCATGTGCCCATGTGGCCTCAGTATTGTGGTTTCTTGGCTATGAAAAACACACTAACTATGCATATAGACCTACTCCAAGACTGGGCTGACTACTTTGAGGATGCAGCTGTGCAACCTGCAGTAATGGATGGCTCAACAGAAAGTGAAATGAGTGCAACAGAAGAGTGATATGAATTGCAACATTTGTTTATTGAGAGTGAACATTCTACAGGTTATGATATCCAGTGCATCAGACTCCCATTATTGTTTTCAACAATATGCATCACAAAATTGACAAAACGTTTCTCAGATAATAGTAACTATATGTATATACATGTAGTTCATTATGCAATTTGTTGATTCGCATATTGAACTTAAGTTTGTTAATTTTACATGACTCTATACAAGTACTTGTTATTTGTTGTAGTACAATGTAATTACAAAACATTTCCAGACGAACATGTACTAGAATAACTTATTCTTTGATGCTTGATTCATTTTTATGACATTGTGAGGATGATAAACATTATCTTATTATGAGTAAATGCAGTGTATAAGTCATGAGTGGTGTGATGATTAACTTTTTCGTAATAGTAAAGGTGAGTGAGGGCAGTTCTGGAATTTGTTTATGCAAACTGAAATCCCTTGTTGTTTTTGTCAAGATTAATGAATTGTTATTAAAAACGTTAGTTGAAGACAATTCTTGTTTGTTCACTTTGTGCATTCAATGTATTTTTACGTTAAATACATAAAATAGAACTTGTCGTTGAAAAATTAACATTTTTCCTGTAAATTCAAAATAATATAAGGGTTTTTTTCTCATTTATAGTTTTTGATAGAATTAATAGGATTTTATTTAAAATATTTTTACCATATAGTACATATTGTAAGTAGAGTCCATTTAAAGACATGTTAAGTCCCCAGGTATCTCTGATTTTGAACATGAAAACAACTGTTTTACATTAAAATTCAGTTTTTTACCACTTTTAGCTAAAATAGTTTTTATTCACATGTTTAAGATCATTTCTGTTGTATTTGTATTAAAAATGTATTATTTAAATCTTTGGTAAAATTTACAGAGAAAAAATTATTAAAAATTTCCAGAAATCATTGAAAAGTGTGTTATATTAGCATTTTTGACCCCAAAATGTCGTGAAAGTGGTTTTTTCATCAAAATCTATCTGAAAAGGTGTGATTTAACCAATTTTTTTTTTTAAATATTTAAAACACTTTGTTTAATATGTTTTAGGGCATGTTTAGGGTCTTAATGCCCCCTGATTCTTCAAAAAAAAAAAAATCAAACTTAATTGCATATTATTTCTATTTTGTGTGTTATTCAGCTACTGACATTATTTGATATTTACATTCGCTGTGTTTTTCTACTAAGCCTAATGTGAAATTGATTTGAAAGTCATTTTGTGTATACTCACGCGTAGAAATATACACGTAGAAACGTGTGTTAACGTGACGTCACAATGAGGCTGCAGCGACGTTAGAAAAAATGCAGCGATATAGGGCATCTAGAAATTCAAATATTGAGTATATTTTAGTTTCTTCCGAACATGTAAAATGTAAATATAAGGATTGTTTTTCAGTTTAGTGTGAATTATTGGTGTGTGAATCACACAGACTTGTCACGTAAACATATTTCATGAAGCGCACAAAACTTAAAAACATCCTTAATTGAACGTCCCTCGTACATTTCTGCATTAATTCTCTGAACATGATCTTCTGCTAAACTTACTTCCTCTTAGTAAAACTACACTAAAGATAAACAAACGGATAAAAACGGGAAACGGGCTAAAAATACACTATAAACTTTTACCTAAAAAAGACACATAAACAATTACACTTATGAGATAAAATATAATAACACCACTCTAACACTTAATATCAACAAATCACAATTATATAGAAAAAAAAATTAACCTTGTAAATTGTGACAATTTCACAACAGTCTATACTAGTAGACAGGACCCTAGAACCTGAAATTAATTTGCACTGAAAGCTTTTTTTAAAACCTTATATTCTTTTACCAAAGGCAAACCCTCAATATCTGCTGACAAACATTTCCCAACAGAGGGTGAAAATGTTACAATCACCGTCAAAACATGTCCTCGGAGCGAAAACAGTACAATATCGTGGAGTAAGTGTGGTCAAATAGTTGGCACATGTGTAAGGAACAGCTGCACTGCGGAAAACATCAAGAACGATCAATCTGAGTTAGAATCTACATTCTTCATAGAGAAAAGCAGCAATGCCAGAGATAATTGTATTGTAACTTTCAAAACAGATGATATTGGACTTAAGTACATTATGAAAATTTACAGTAAGTGAAAAAAAAAATGGTTGATCGACAATATTCTTTTTTTGTAAAAAGTGTATTTTATAGTGATATTCTGCATGTCATTATAATGAACTGATGGAGCATGTACCTGACAATTTTACATTTATAATATTATTTTGATGTATTTTAGAACACCCAGAAAAAGTTTCTGTCACAGTAAATGGAAAAAAAGACCGAAACATTCAAGTAAGAGTTACTGAATCCATAAAGCTCGACGTGAAGACATCATGCATGTATCCTCGACCGTTTATACATCTTTTTTATAAGGTATGTGTATTTTAGTTCTAAGATGCAATAATGTAGCCCTTTCCGATTTTTTTAAAATCTGATGTTTTCTAGAGCGCGAGCTCTTCGATGTTGCAGCATCTCCGTAATGGTGGGTGTAAATATATTTTAACTAGTTTTTATTGTAACGGGGATCGTTACAGATGTTCCCCAAACGCTCCCCGACTCCCTTTTTGTGCCTAATGCTTGTAAGAAGTTACTAAAATATGCTCAGTATCAAAGGATTCCATCCAAGAATTATAAAAACTACAATGATATCAACTATATATCAATTAACGTATCGCACGCGCACGCACATGCATGCAAATGCAAGATGATCATGGCATATTGTCTCAACCATTAGGCCTAACATACATCTTTATATAACGAGAATATATAAAATTACCAAAAAAATTGAATGTTACTGTTTTTCAAATAAAATGGTGATTTTAAGTTTCGTGCGAGTTCACGTGAATGTATGCATGTCCTTGTATTCAAATTTGATAGTAATATAATGTAGGAATTCATTATACCTATTCATATTCTAAATTTCGTCCCGTTTCGTTGAGAACTTAGAAAGTTATATACTTTTAAAGTTTAAGCCAATCAGATTGCAGCATACGTTCATGTGCATGCTTTCATGATAATTCTTTTATATCATGCTGTAGATCTTCAAAGAATATGAATATGTCCAAAATTTCAAAGGGCTTCGTCAAAAAACAAGACAGATATTGAGACTTTAGTTTCAGCCAATCACAGCAAAGCACACGTGCAAGCACATGCGATATTGCTATTTTTGACATGACATCATGTCTATTTTACTAACATATCCTAACATTATGAGTTTCAAAGGATTTCATCAAAAAATAGTAAAGTTGAAGCTATATCTATTATATTGGTCATTTCACGTGTTGCACGTGCACGCTCTTGCAAGCACGTGCGCGCAAAATGACCTTTATTCCGCAAAATAACATAACATATCTACTGACCCTAAAAAAGGTTTTACCTACATCGGATGAACAGTTTACAAGATCACTGCGGGACAAAAAAGTACCCAGGAAGAAGAAGAAGAAAAAGAACTAAAGAGTCTGATATTGCAAGCAGTAGCTTATGTCGTCACGAACTGGACAAAACTTTCATTTTTTCTCATCACTAAAACAATACCTAATAAGCTTGGACAACCATCAACTCCTATCAGTGCTTTCAGTACTTTGATTTAAAAATCAAAGTAAAAGAATTTTCACTTTTCCCCTGTTTCCATGGAAACTATTGACAATTTGCAATTTTTAAATGCACAATGACAGATACTAATCAATAAATCAGTAAAAGTTTCATGAAGAATGTTCAAGGGACCAAAGAGAACACTCGCGGACAAAATTCGTCGCTTTTTGCATGTTTCCATGGCAGCGGTAGCCATTTTGAACCTGACCACATGGCACAACTACAACCAGTGATCCGCCTTTAAGGAAAGTTTCAGGAAGATTGTCCCAGCCATCTCCGAGAAAACGCCTGGACAACAAAAACATGCGTACAATCGCAATATGTCGTCCCCTATTTCGTTCGGGACGACATAAAAACTAGAAAAGATCTCGTTGCGAGCAACAAGTAGGTGTCCGTCTGATTTTTTTGATAAGATCAGATATCATTTTGATTGAGATATTCCTAAAAATGATAATAATACGAAGAGATTGGTATGAGACACCTAAATCTTGAATAGTTGTATCTCAGAAATGTGAAGCATTAAATATAAAATAATATTGACATATTACAAAAACACATCTATATAAAAAGATTTTTTTAATGTTCTTGAAGATAAACCGTTCTGAAAACGTATTTAAAAATGGACTGGGTGGTAGTTGCCATTTTTAGACGATATTGATCTCCTTTAAAAGAATTTAAGAGCTCCAATTAATGGTAAAGAAAAATGATAAAATTTTAATACTAAAATGTATGATTTTTTTCTATGCTAAACGATAGCTATAAAATTCAAGATATCATATCTTAATTATCAAGGTATCATGTTAAGGGTTTCCGTACATTTGAAGCACTAGCAGTTCATGCAATTTTTTTTTCTATTTTTCTGTTGAAATAAAAAAAAAAAGAAACATTACAGTGAAATTAAGTCAATACTACAGTATTATTTATATATTAAGATAGTTTCGATAAAAGAAATAACTGTATATAAATAAAATGAAATTAAAAGAGATTCCTAAACAAAATAATATACGAATTAGATCGGGTATTTGTTTAAGATAATTAATACAAGATATTTCAGGATGTTCAGCAAAGGAGATTTCAAGTGTTGAGAAATGTAATTAATCGTTTAGGCTATAGAGGTTGTCTGACTATTTTGTTTTTGTGAAATCATACACTTCTAGTGAATCTTAGATATTCATACCCAAATATGTGCAGAGCCTAATTAGTAAAAAAACATAAATGTTATACATCATAACTCCACTACGAATATTTTACGATTGGTTGTTTAATTGGTTATTGTTAACCGCCGAGTCGACAAAATTTCAACTTTTTGTTTCTCTGATTGCCCGCGGTGAGCGATACATTTCATTGAAATCCAGATAAATGATCTTTTTCTTGCCAATTAAGGCGGCTGTTATCTTTGACAAGGCTTTGCTGTACTTGCAATTGATAACTTAAATGATAAGCCTTGTAGGATCAGTATTATTGCTTTCATGATCATCGGCATTTTCAGTGTTTGCTTAACAAAACCTTTGCCTATATTTATGTTTGTATCCGTCACATTCAAATAATCTATTTTGATGAATAACTTTCAATACCTGAGCCCCTTATTATAAACGTTTGATTGCAAGTATTGTTAATGTCTGTGGCAAGTTATATATTATGACCGATTGATATGCAATGGATATATATATCAAGATTACAAGTGAAGTTTAAAATTTTATAGTGGCTAAAGAAATATAATGTTTAACGATGCTGTGTTTTATTGGTTTGAATAAGCCAGGTCACAAAATATACCTATTAACGGCTCAGATTACAAGAAAAAGGGATTGGAGTTTTATCCGACTTTACAACCTTAACTAGCTGGGTAGACAGTTTCAAAGACATTCTGAATTTCTACAAGAAAAATCAAAAAGTTTTTAATACTGCGGTAGTTGTAATATTTTTAATTGTGATGAAACAGGTCTTTTTTCCTTCACAACCTGAGAGCTTTCAGCTGAAAGGCAGTGAATGTAACCCACAAGTGTATACGAGTGACTTGTGCATGCAATGATACTTGTTTGTAGCATATCCAGAGAAAAACGTGAGATCCTTGTAATCGGAAAAGCTGCTCATCATTTATGTTTCCAAAATGTAGATTTACATGCAAGAAAAAAAAACATGCAGGGCAGGTGACTTTTTCATTAGATTATACGCAAAAAAAAAAAATAAATAAAAATGCGAAAACAAAGAAGGAAAAACATTTTGTTACCAGTCTTTGTTCGTAGCTATGCATTTCAAATACCGTGTTTTTGTGTGATTCTTTGGATTTACAACTTTCATTAAGAAATAAACAGATAGCTTTACAGTAAATTACCAGAGCTGGTTAAACTTTATTAATTATCCGTTCGAAGTTTTTAAAACTTACTTTCACAGTGCGATATTCTCTAACCCGGATGTTGTATTGTTCATTCAAGAATTCTTGAACCACTGGTTGCCAGATAAGTTATGCTGTAATATGTGAAAATGTGGGAACAATTAAGACTATAGCAAATGTAGCTTATACAGTTAATATTTTTCTGTGTCTGATATGATGGTTACCATCAAGGCATCGTGGTAACTGTAGTTTGTTGATATTTTTTCACGTCTGCTTGTTAGGATGTTGATAATTACACATGATCAAGTATTGTCGCTCCTTCTGTTGTATTAAAATTAACCATTTGTTTGAAGCCTAGATTGGTCAGAAAAGTGTGAATAGATCCTGCAGATCTGGCATCTTCATTGAAGTCTCCAAGAAAAACACTGAACTTTCTTTGTGATTTGTAATAAGACACCACCTTTTCGAATTGTAATAAGAACTGGGAAACATCTAAAGAAAATGGCCGATAGACAGTTACAACAACTATAGCTTGTGAAACACACTTCACGCAGATGCCCTCAACATTCTTTATAGGAAGTGAAGAAACAATATTTTCATGTTCAGTTTCTTTGTTGTAAACTGCAACACCTCCACCCTTTGATGCACGCAGTTTTGACATTTGAGCATTGCTCTCATCATATACATCTCCTCTTGTTGCTTGGTGAAAATGGAAATCGTTTATTTTTAATGAACTAATGTTTTGTCCAGATCTTATCCAAGTCTCTGTCAAGCAAATGATGTCTGCATTCCTACAGTGAATGTCCTTTCTCAGATCTTCAAAATGTTTATTGAGACTCTGAATGTTATGTAAATAAATTGTAATACCTTGTTCTGATGCATCAAAGTATGGTAGTATTAATTTTGGCATTCCTTGCAAAGCTGATTTGACTTCTGGGTCAGCGTATATCTTTTTCTTGAACGACTCAATGTCATTCGTTTTGATGAATAATCCTTGTTTTGATGTAAATCTGCTCAACGCAATATATCCTTGTCCAGGAGGAAACGTCCGATCTAAATTTACTACAACCTTGTCAACTGTCATGCCTTGTATTTTGTAAGCTGTGCAAGCCCAAGACAATCGTAATGGAAACTGATGTCGAACAACATTCTTTTTTTTTCTGTTCTAGCATCTTCTCTTGAACACTTTCAATCAAAACGATGTTTCCATTTCTTGTTTTATTTCCAGACTTCATGCCAACATTGATGTTGTCAAATATTACTCCTACTGCAACAACATTGTTTACGCCATGTATTTGACCATATGCGTTATATGCCCCATAACTCCATTTACTAGTCCGTCTTTTATATTGCAGTTTCTTGTAAGCATGACTCTTGCTCCAACTCCCATTAACAAACTGCTAGAAAGATTGTCTGTCCTCGACCGTGTCCATGGCTTTTTTCTTAACATAAGCTTGCCTGATGATCTATCCTTGGTTATGTCTTGCACGTCAATCTCAACAATGTCTTCACATGTTCCCCTGAGCATTGTCAAGTTATAGACATTTACTTCGTCATTTGTTGCGTAGACGTGAAGATTATCATGTGGCCCTTCCCTTACATATTCTTTCAAGATAGAATCTGTTCCATACTCCAGTGGTTCTTTTATTTCTCTACTTCGAAGTGAATTCAGTGATGTTGCAAATGAGATGTCTTCACGGTGCCGCATAATTTCAGATAACTCCGCCGCTTTGAATAGGTCAAGCCAATGATCAACAGGTTAAGCAACATTTTCTTTATACAACCCTTCACCTTTGCGCTGTTTTACTGGAGGAAGTTGATAGAAATCTCCAACAGCTATTACAGAAACTCCTCCAAATGGTCCCCTGCATTTCTTAATCGGTACAAGTCTTTCAGGAACATAGTACAATAATCTTTTGTAAACCATTGAAATTTCATTTATAACCAGAATTTGCAGGTCTCCAAATTGCACTCTCATTTCACTTAGACTCTGATCTCTCAATGGTTCATATGGCAAAGACATACATTTTGACACTGAAAATAAATAATGGATAGTATTTCCCCCAATATTGAAAGCAGCTGTTCCAGTAAAAGCAGCAAGTAGTACTGATACACCGTCAAATGTCAATTTCTTTCCAAGTATTCGTGATGCCTCATAATGTATGGCTTTGATTAGATGGCTTTTGCCTGTTCCTGCTCCACCACTTATAAATATGTGCAGGGTGCCAGTTCTTTTCTCCAAAATGTTTTTTCAAATACCATTCCCTAACTAAGTAAAATACCTTTGTTTGAGTCTCGTTTAAATTTTAAAGGATTTTTATTGTCTCCTCCTTTGACTGTATATTCTGTTTTACTTTGAAAAGAACATCACAATTTATTTCTGTTTGCATGTCTGGCAAGTCTTCTGTCACATTCAGATCCAAACTTTTATTTCTCTCATAAGAGCATTCCTCTCTCATTAGTTCTGTCTCAGGACAAAGGTTTGCCCATGCATCCTCGGGTTCTCCGATGTTTTCGAAAGTATCCATTGCCTCTGCAATTAGTTCTTCATTTTCATCATAACGCAATCGGTGTGTATCAACAATTGATTTGACTGATTGCACACTCTTCTTTCCCGTGATTCGCACATGTCCATTTTCATAAAATGTTTCGTAAAGATCAAATTCTGGAGATTTAATTGAGGCTCTGTCCAGTAGGGCAAGAACAATTGAAGCAGGCTTTGATAATACTTTTCTGATATTTTTTCTGCACTGAATCTGGGGTATCTTATTACAGCTGGCTTTCTGTGTGTTCTTCTTTGGATAAATCCTTTAATATTTTGAAGTTCAAAAACATTTTCGTTTAAACTCTTTGGAACCTGTGATTTAGCAAGTATTCTAAATTCTGAGCAAAACTCTACCAAACACATATTCTAAAAGTAAGGTTTTTTTGGTCGATTTGCATACCTTTCCACTAGATTTGTTATCCAAATGTCATCTTCATCGTCGTCATTTTCATCATGTTCATCGTCCCCCAGACTATGTTTTCTTTTCAGCTGTGACAATGGTTTCGTCAGTCGAGTAGGATTTTCCCCAACAGGTACATGTACAAACACTACTTTTCTCGAACATTCTTTCATCTTCAAGTTGCATACACGATATACAGCTTCCTGTGCGCTCACTTCCCTATGACTTAAGTAGGCAGAACCAATTTTTAAAGTTGTTCGTGCACATTCATTTTCTCTACTACCTATATTTTGGTTTGTATCAACACCATTCCCATTTCCCTCTCAAACTTTGAAATGTATGAAATTATGTAGACAATGCTGCTAAATGGATCCAAAACAAAATGAATATCCATATTGGCATCCCAGTATTTCAAAAGACATAGATTATACTGATTGATCAAGAGCTCGCATGGATTTCTGTCTAGAATAACTGTTCTTTGCTAACCTTTTGTGTGCATCCTCATAGTGCTCTTTTGTCAAATCCAGATGCTCAAAAATCTCTTCTGTAGTGTGTGTTTCATTTGCTTCATCTTGCACCTCATTCCAAACTCTCAGTAATATTTCTTTAAATATTGAGCGTTCATGTTTTAAATCAGTACATTCTGCAGCATTCTCCAAGCTCTCTTGTTCTACAGGAGAATTTATGTATGTACCAACTGAAGGTGGTCTAGGAAAGTTAAATCTACATTCTGTACCCTTCTTTGTGCATGATTTCGAGTGCTTTCTGCTGTGTTGCTATACTGCCAAGACAATATCCTTCAGTTCCAAATCTTCATTCTGAGAAGGCACTGCACAACTTGCATATTTGTCAATGAAATTGCATACGGCTACCTCTCCGTCTTCATCAAGTTTTGGAGTATTTTCTATCCAATATAAACTGTGCATGTGAGGAAACCTTCTCTGTTGGAATTTGACTCTTTGAAAAAAAATCTGATACTTTTCCAATTGGTTCCAATGGTGAAAATATCACTTATGTTTGGAAAACATGAAAACTGTGTTCGAACATCCTAGCAACTGTGACAGGATTACTTCTCAGCACCTCATTCTTTTCGAACCAATCCATCAAACAAGGATCTCTGGTATCGGTTTGTGGTCTCAATATTGTGGCAACAGCATCATTCCATTTATGCTCCGCAGCAAAAAATGAGCAAAACCAACTTGGTATTTTTAACTGCCGAAGCATAGCAAAAAGACCCTTTTGCGCTGCTGACCAATATGCTGGTAATCCAAGTATGGGCTGCATGAATCGCAAACACTCATCATTTTTCATCAACTTCGAAAGTATATCAGGATTTTGTACCATATCTGTTGTCACAAACTGGTCACTTCCTAATTTCCTGACTGATTTTCTGATTGATATCTATGTCTTTTATATAACCTGGTTTAAATCAAACAAAAACTGACTGAAAAAATATAACTACTGTCTTTAGCATGCAAATCTTTTGTCAGTATTCAGCCCCGTGGGGATCTGGGTTAGAATAGTTCCTAATTACCCCCTTGCTTGTCTTAAAAGGCGAGTAAATGGGGCGGTCCTTCGGATGAGGCCGTATAAACCGAGGCCCCGTGTCACAGCAGGTGTGGCACGATAAAGATCCCTCCCTGCTCAAAGGCCATAAGTGCCGAGCATAGGCCTAAATTTGCAGCCCTTCACCGGCAATGGTGACGTCTCCATATCAGTGAAATATTCTGGAGAGGGACGTTAAACAGTATA